GTTATTTTCTTGTGGCTGTGATTAAAATACTCTGACAAAAGTGACTTGGAAAAAAAAATGAATTGTTCTGGCTCTCAGTTTCAGGCCGTAGTTCATCATGACAGTGAAGCCAAGGGAGCAGGATCCTGAGATATCGAGTCATATGATATCTGCAGCCAGAAAGAAGAGAGAGATGCTGGCACAAAGCTAACTTCCTCTTTCTTATGCAGTGCAGGACCCCAACCTGAGGAGTGATGTCTTCTACTTTTAGGGTGGAGCTTCTCACTCTAACCTAATCATGACAATCCCTCACTGGCATAGACAGAGACTAACCTAATCAGGAAAATCCCTCACATCTGTACCCGAGGCTTGTCTCCAAGGTGATTCTAGAATCTGTCAAGTTGACAAGACTATCACAGCATCTTAAGTTCTTCATTCAATTTTGCCTTTCTTATATCTACCCAGCACTGAGGATCAACCTTAGGGCTTTTCTAGACAAATGCTCTACCAGTATACTGGGTCCCCAGGTTCTTAACATGTTTTTATTGTGAACTTCCGGTGCTGCCCTTCCTTGAACTCACTGTGTATCTCAGGTGAACACAGGTTGGCTCAGGGCACCAGTATCTGATGCATTACACACACATTGGTCCTCTCTCAGCAGCTGCATTATCACGCTGCATCACCGCCTCTGCCTGGGGACTTTGTTCTCGTGACTTTCAGGACACCCCACGTTCTGACTTCTCTTACTTCCCCAGGTACTGCTGTTTCTGCCCCCAATGAGTTCCTCCTCTTTCCTTGTTCGATGTGCCAGAGTTTGTACCTAGTCCTCGTCATCTGTCATGCTTAGTTCATTGGTGATCTCATTCAAAGTATTCCATAAGACACTTAATTGGTATCTTCCTCCCAGACTCTTTCTCAACATCAGGTCTCTCTATGTAACGCTATACTTGTATTACATTGAGCGCACACAGTTCAGACTCCCTAAGCGCAAGCCTGAAACCCCCCAGTAATTTCATTCTCCTCCTAGCCTTCCTGTCTCAAGCGATGACAACTCCAGTTCCTACAGTCTCTCAAGCTTAATAGGTTAGCATCACGTATTCCTCCTTATTTCCCACTCCACACATAATGGACTGTAGAAACCCACTTATCCTTCCAAATATATCCAGAATTCCTGCGTGTCTCTTCACCTCCATTGCTATCTTCCCCTTGTGAGCCAACATCAGATCTCATGATAATATCATTTGGACGTCGGTATTAGTTACGGTTCTATCGCGTGTGCCATCAGGTAGGTGGGCTATAATGAACCTTACGAATCTATAGGACTCAGATCCTACTGCATCCTTAGCTTCGGGGTTAATGAGACTAGATAAGTACAAGCTTAACGACACTTTACAGATGTCACAGGGTGTTAGGTCAGATAGGCAGGATGATAAACATGGCCGGTGAAACATAATCATACATAGCTTTGGCTCCTCATGTGTAGCCTCCCATATCACCACAGTCACACAGTTCTGCTCAGTCATGGACTTCATAGTCTATGGCTTCTGAATATAGATGTGGCTTCTCCAGTGAACTGGAGTTCAGTCTTATAAATTATTTATCTAAGATGCTTTGTGATAGTAACAGAAGGCCGAGTAATACACGGATTACCGCAAGATGCCAAATCATCTATTTTCCCTTAGTCTTTCCTGCTCCTGAGATTCTTAAACACAACAGCTAGAACGATCTTCCTATACCATCATCAATTTCATGTCCAAAGCCTGAAGTGACTATCACTTCATGTAGGGTCCAAGGCCCTTCTCTTACACGGCCTGGTTTCTGCATTTGTCTGACCTCATGTCCTGCCTTTGACGCCACCCTTTTCCTTTCTGACTGGCATCCTTGGCTTTCCTTGAACTGGAACGCCTGGTTCTGGTCCTGCCTCAGTGCCCATGTACCGGTTGTTTTTCTTCGCGTGGGCAGCCTTTCCTGAGCTACTTTACCCCCAGACCTTTGCTCAGTTAACATTTTCCAGGGAGTCTTTGTTCTCTGCAGCCCCCCCTACAGGACACACCTAACCCTCTGCTCTTATCTAAATTTTATTTTATTTTGGTGTTTAATACCTTTGAACATATTCTACAGTGTACTGTTTTACTATGTTGATTTCTGTCAGTTTTCTTTCCCAGTCAGAATAATGAGTTTTAAAGGGAAGGAATGGCTGTCTGATGTGTCCAAAGTGCCTTAAAGAATCTGAAACAGTGCTCAGCATTTAACAAGTGCTTACTAAACATTTGCTGTTTATTTTTGTTTAAATAATATAATTACATTATTTTCCGCTTCTTTTTTCTCACTCTAAACTCTCCCATAGACTCCTCCTTGTTCTCTTTCAAATTCAGGGTCCCTTTTTTTATTGTTGTTACACACACACACACACACACACACACACACACACACACACGCACACCATAAATACAATCTGTTCAGTCTATATCATGAATAGTGTATAAAACATATTTGCATGAATGTGTTTTCATGCCCGACTTTTGCATTAGATAACCAGTTTGTGCTCGCCTCCCTGGAGAATATTATTTCCCTCACTCTCAGCATTCCTTAGTTGCCTGTAGTTCTCTGGGTGGGCTGAGGCCTCCTGAGCCTTCCCCTGCCCTTGTTGGCCTATATTTAAGTGAATATGATAGTGTTGTGCTAGGTCATGGTCAGCCAGCCTTCCAAAGGCTGAGGTTGGGAGTGATGGTTTTGGACTATGAAGGCCGCAGATATGGTTCTTCTTTAGGTATGTACTGGCTCCTTCCAGCACTGCAGCCACATCATTTGGAATCTGGAGGGCTCATCTGCCTCTCAGCTTAGTTCTTTTCTTTTTCCAGGGCTAAAATTTTAACTTTAGGATTTCCTATTTCCTTTTTGTCTATGATTGAACTGGTCCTAACTTATTTCCAGAATTTCCCCCATTATCTTAATTTCTTTTCTTATGAGTCCTGACGCTTGTCTCCATAACTGGACAAGGCTCCCATGAGCAGAGCAATATCTGGGCCAACCTCTGATACTTTGACTATGTAATGATAGGAAGGATCCTTTTAGAGGGGAGGCAAAGCAAACTTTTTATCTTTATTCTTGGAATCGGAATTTCTCTTAGCACTTATCAGTTTCACCTGTTAGTGCAAAATTCAGACTGCAGCTGTAGAGATTCTCTACCAACCCACAGTAAATGCAGCAACTTCCAGCCCTGTTCCAGGAACAGGTTTCCCCCAAGTGACAGCACTGCCCTGGCAGGAGAGGGGCTCCCCAGTGCTGTGAAGTTGTTACAGGTTGGCTCCGGTGTTCCAGACTGTAGCAGCTCTGCTCTGCTAGGGGAAGGTTTCCCCAGCGAAAGTGTTACAGCCCTGTTGCACTCGGCTCCTCCGTTTCTGGCTTCCCTGGCCCTGCCAGGGGAAGAATCCCCAAGTATAAGTGTTACAGTCCTGCTCTGCTCCGCCTCTGCTCTGGCAAAAGAAGGTCTTCACCTAAACTTCGTTCAAGAGATTTATTGGGAGGGAAGAATCCAGGAGAGTGGCTGCCTCTGCTAGGGTAGAAGAAGAGCAGCCACAAACGGAACAGGCAGGCACAGAGTTTACATACATATAGGGCTTCTTAGACAGGGTTTTCCCAGGGAGAAGAGGGATTGTTAGTTTTCCCTGCTCAGGGATTGGTTAGTTTAGATGGTCAGGGTCAGACATGGCTGATTTCAGAGCCAAATTGTGCTTTTCTCACCGGCCTTTTTAAGCTTTTGGCTTTAGTTTTGGGGCCAGGGCACATTTCTTTCACTGACTCTGGTTCTAGGGTCAAAGTGTGTTTCTTTGGCACTGGTTTCAGGGTCAGGGTGTATTTCTTTAATTCTGGGTTCCAGGCTAAAGCGTCTCTCTCACTGGCTTGGGTGTCAGAACCAGGGTGTGTTTCTTTCATTGGCTCTGGTTTTAGAGCCAGGGTGGGTTTCTTTGACTGATCCCTTTTTTTGCTACACTAAGGCATAAATGCCACCAAATATTAGATAATGTCATTGGGACAATTCCGTGTCAGGGGAACTATATTCAGCTTTTCCTAAAATGCAATAATTATTTTATTTATTTTATTTTTAGTTATGTGTGTGTGTGTGTGTACACACACAAGTGTGAGTTCAGGTGCCAGGGGAGGCCAGAAAATGATGCTGGAGCCCCTGGAGCTGGAATCACAGGTTGTTGTGTGCCACCAGTGTGAACACCAGGAAATGAATTCAAGTCCTTTGCTGTAAACAGCTGAGCCATCTCTTCAGTCAAATGTAAATGCTAATGTATTACTCTTTTTTAAAAGCAAAGTTAAATATGCTGGAAGCCAGGGCCTAAACCGGATCCATTGAACCACAAGCAGAATAGTTTGGTCTTTACTTTTAGTGTTAGTGAAACTTGAACTACACTCAGTCATCAAATGTCTTAAGGAGATTCTACAGTGCCCTGACTTTTAACACAAGTTTTTACTTCAAAAATCATTTTTCTTTTTCAAACTTTGTTTTAAGAGACCTTTTTTGTCTTTGCACCTTCTGACCAGGCACACTTAATTCTTGTTTCATTATGTAATGCTGCAGGGAATGACTTTTCCCAGAGTTTGAGTATTCAAAGATGCAGTAACACAGTTCCAATAGTTCAGCACCTGTCAGCGTTACATATGCAGGAAAAGACCCTGCATTTAAGTGCAGGGTGGGAGGCGGGACGACCTGGGTAGTTGGTAACTTCCTGCCTAAACTCGGGCAGCAGGGAACTCTGTGGCACCCCTATAAGGTTGGAGGAGAATTGAGACCACCCAGCAGCCTCCTCCCTCGCCCGTCTCGCCCCTCCCTGTCCCGCCCCCGGCCTCGCCCCGCCCCGCCCCTCCTCGCCCCTCCCCGGCCTTGTTTCGCCTTTGGCCGGGGCGGGGCACTTCGTGCAAGGCCCAGGCGGGGAGGCGGGGCCCCAAGCCTCAGCCAATGGGCGCCAGCGGGTCGCCGTAGCACGGTTGCCGGGGTGACCCGTGTGCGGCCCCGCCCCACCGGGCCAGGGCTTTGGCGGGCCGCTGAGTGCGGCTGGAGTGGGAACCCGGGTGTCTGCCCGCCGCGTTCGCAAGATGCCCAAGTGGAGCCTGCGGCGGAGGCCGGGCCGCACACTCGGACTCGTGCTGCTGCTGCTCTTGAGTTTCCTGGTGCTCCGCAGGTGAGAGAGAGCCCCGCCCAGCACCTACGGGACTCCTCCGGTCCCAGCCCAAAGTCTCAGGTTCGAGTCGGCCACAAGTCTGGGAAACCGCGACCCTAATCCTTTCTTTCCTTACAGCTCTCCAGCAGCCCGGAGTCCCTTTGAGCCTCCAGTCACTCATACCTTGCCTCTGGTAACACCAGGCAGGCACTGCCCTATCAGTCCCTAGGGGTCAGTGCGTTGTGTTTTCCAGTGCTCCACACTTGGTGCCGGTCTCTGCTGTTCATAGACAAGTCTAGTCCTGTGGAAAGATGGGCAGAACTGGCCTTCACATCCCTCCTCAGACGCCCCCATCACTGCTTCTTGTAGCCCCTTAGGCTTTTCTCTCTCTCACGTTTCCTTCCAAGCTGGAAGTCTCTATTCTGCAGTCAGCGCTTGTGGCCCATGGCTAAAGTGGACTTAGAGTCCTAAGGACTCTGACCGTGGGTCTCTCCTAAACTCTCAGCCCCGATTTATTTGCCCTAGTTTGTAAGTACGCGTCTCCAATTTCTCCCTTCCGTTTTGTATGCTCCCCACCCGCTTTATGAACTGCCTGTGGCAGTCGGTGGTGTTCATTGGAAGAATGGTTTCCCCATTGCCCAGGAACAAGTTTTCTGGTGATCCACTCCAGAAGTTTTCCAAAACATATCTATTTATAGGAGCCTACAGTCCTTCTGCTCTTCCAGGTCGATGCCTGGCACTTTACATATTCAAAATCTCCAGCGTTGCTGGAAAGCACAACAGCAACGCGGAATGTTTAAGCAGTTGACTTGAGTCGGAGGCCCTGAGAACTGGAGGTGGTGGGCACCTCAGTTTTGGCTTTGGCTCCTTTTTTATTCCCTTTCCTCACTTCCGTGAACTTCCTCTGGAAGATAGGGATTTCCTCCCCCCCCCTTTTTTTAAATGAAGATTTTTATGCCGCCATGAGAATACACTTGGAAACTTCACATTGACATCTTCTCAAGACTTAGAGCCCTTTGATTCTGAGAGAATGTCATTATATTGCTTGGGAGAAGGAAATGGATCTTTTTTTTTCATCCTGGGGCCCAAGAAACTTCTCAGTCATTTCATTCTCTTAGTCTTAGTTGTTCCGAACCTATTCCCTTTCTTATCGGTTCTCAGACGGCCTTTTCTTTGAAGTCACGGCTTCTGTCAGCTTTCCCCAGGTGCCAGGTTGATGCAACTCCAGAGGAATCACTGTGGGCTGAGGCAACAGGAGCTCCTTCCTAGAGCAGGGAGTCGTGGAGGTGGGGCCCCAGAGAAGTGTTTGCTTGTTTTTGATCCCAAGTACACCTGTCCCTGCAAGTGACTGAGGCAGGTCACTGTGAGGGCAACTCTGGAAGGGTTGAACCTGGACAGGTAGCATTTTCTAATAGTCCTAGGGAAAACGTGTGGGAAGGAGGAAGGGTGTTTGTCACCTGGCAGGACACTGCTGAGGTGTCAGGGAAGTGAGTGGGCTGTGAAGAAGCCCGACCTTCTCATAGGTGAGTAACTGGTTCCCACCCAGGCAAGGTAGCCATGGGAGGAATCACGCTGCGGCTGTGGAATGGGTCAGGAATAGCAGCCAAGAAGGCAGAGTGCATAGCGGTGACTCAAGCCTGGAAAACGGGTTGAAATGCGAAGTTGCTTCATGACTCCTTCCTTTCCAGCAGGTGAGGAAGCCTAGAGAGGCTCAGACCTCAGGTCAGGGCCATCTTTTGGGATCCCCTGGGAATACACATGTCCTTGGCATCCTTTGGACTGCATCATTCCCATGTGCCTTCTGCCCAGTTCCTTCTGGCAAATTTGTGCAGGACACCAGTGCCTATGGAGTTACTTTAATAGCTCTGGAGCCAAAGGAAAACAAACTGACCCTCTCTTCCTGGCTTACCCCAGCTTTGACTAGGTCATTAACTGAGCGGGTGGGTGGGTGCCCCTCCCTCCCAGCTGTTGTTGAGGAATGTTGGTGTGGCCGGTGGAATATAGGTCACATGGAGACTGGCTACTCTTTGCTCACAGTGCTCTGGAGCCCAACCATCAGCACCAGCCCTTTTCCGGGACCCTGACGGCAGGTATTTGGAGGTTTCTGGGGGAAAGGTGTTGGGCTGTAACATTCCTTTTCCCCCACTTTTCCTTGGGTTGGTTCATAGTTATAGTTTCTTGATTATATCACATTTAAGACATAGGAGGACTAAAAAATGATTTGGGGGAAAGATTTCATTCAGTCTTTTTTGGGGGGCTCTAAAATGTTTTTATTAAAAGATATATTTATACATAGAAGTATAATTGTTATACAAAGAAGTGTACGTAGCTTATCAATCAGCTTTGATATAGATAACATGGGACAATATCACCACAATTAAAAGTAGTGGAAATAGCTATTTTTCTCCTCCCTGAATTCTTTGGTACCTCACTGTCACCTTTTCTCCCTCTTCTTCCTGTATAGTACCCAGTATTCACTGGGGGTTTTCTGTGACTCTATATATTATCTAAGGTGTGTCTGATCCTTTTGTGTGGCTGCTTTTCACTTGAGAATGGCAGCCTGTATTATCAGCGTGAACCCTGGTGTTGAACTGGTTGGCCTCTTCTCTTTTCTGTCCTTCCACCTAAAGCCACACAAGAATGCCTATTTGATACGATCAGGGCATGGTCTTTTTATGGCCTTTTCCCACAATATAAATGCTTCGCTGAGCAATAATTCAGTCAGCTCTGCATATCTCAGACTTGAGATTTTTATCTATCCAAACTGGAGGGAGGGAGGGAGAAAGGGAAGGAGGGAGGGAGGGAGGGAAGGAGGGAGGGAGGGGGAGAGAGAGAGAGAGAGAGAGAGAGAGAGAGAGCCACATTAAGTTTTTCAGTCTCATGTTTCTAGGTATGTTCATTTCTTCTCTCAGCCCCTTGTCAGCTGCTGTTCCTCTGGCTTCTAGACCCTGCTATCTTCCTCTGAAACTCTTTCTTGCTAAAAGCAGATAACTTAGCTATATGATGGCTGTATTTAAAAAGCACATTTAAAAATCAATCAACGTGCTTTCCAAAGGTAACCTATGGACAAACTATGTCTCTCTCCTGCGAAGCTACTGATTTTATGAGCTTTACGTACTTTAGGACTCCACTCTGAGGCCTGAGTCATGGGCCCTGGAGTGTCCCAACTCTGAGAATGCTGTCCCTTTCATCTTTAGTGGTAGTAAAGTTTTTAGAATCTGGGAAGTGTCTCTGGGCAGGTAGTCATCATACAGGTGGTGAAGCAAAGCTACCTGGGAAGAAGCTCACAGTGCAGGAGAGATAAGATACTTGAGTTAGTCTGCGCAGGCAAAACGGGGTTGGCACTGAGATTTTTACGGAACCCGCGTTAGCCAGTCTCTAAAGGAGACTAAAGTTCTCTTAGAACTTTGACTCTTTTGATGGGAACAAAGAATTACCATGCATGGGCATCAGGTGTTCCAGAAGGGTGGGGAGGGTTCTTCCTACTTTACTCAAATAAGAAGCAAGGAAAATACATGCCACAAATCTTTGCTAAAATGACAGTTCTACCCTCCTAATTTGCCACCCCGGCAAGGGCAAAGTCCTTTTGGTATATGGATGTTTTCTACTCCATCCAGTCCCATAGTTTGCTTTTATCTATTGCTCTGGGTATTAAAGCCCATGTTGAAAAGAGAGTCCCCCTTGTGTGGGATTGTTCCTGGGAAGACAGGGCAGGGATGGTTTTCAAGGCTCATGGTTAGGAGGCAGACACTTTCAGATTGCTGTTTGCCCAGGGGGTAATCAGGTGGCATTCATGGGTCCTTGGGTGACACTTAGCACCGTACTGGGTGCTTCCCATTTCAAGGAAAACAATTGTTTTTAAGTGTTTAATTTGTGAGTAGGTGGTCCGCGAACGTCCAGAGGATAGAGGGAGAATTAGTGAAAAGAAGCCCCTGCATCCTCGCTTCCTTTTCCACCAGAGTGTCTGGTGGTGGACTCTTGTAGATGTGCTGTGTGCATCCACGAGACAATAGCTGTACTGTTTTCCCACTTGTCCATTAGGTACATAATTTATTTAAGCATTCCTCAGTTGATGGGCATTGATTGTTTTTAGACTTTTAGCTGCTGAAGTAAACAGCTCCAATGAATATGCAATGGATGGATTTCTATAAGCAGAGTTGCTGACCATAACAGATATTAATTTTAAATCTCAGGACATTCTTCCAAAACAACATATTCCATTTCTCCTGGGTCAGGTAAAGGATATTTTGAGCTAAATCCCCCAGGCTAAGGGAGAAAATTCTTTTTAATTTGTGTGTAGGATAATATAGATTCCTGAAGCTTTATAAAAATTATTGTGTTCATTCTATACCTTAGTGACATAACCCCCAGAAATAGATTTTAATGCACTTAATGTAGCTGCACTGTTTCCTATATCAGACGGTTATTCTGTTTATACCACCTCGAACACTCCTATAGGATCAAGAATCTTTAATCTTTTTGGGTTATCAGAGTTTTCTCTTTTAGGCTGAGATGAACTAATCTGTTGATTTATGAGGCTGTTGATGGTATTTTTTTTTTTTTGGTCACAATAAAAGTACAGTATCACAGAAGACCCTTATAGTTTTGACTTTTGTTAGGTGATGAATTACTGAAAGGATCTCTGTTATTTCATTGCTGGGTCTCAAGATATTGCTCTAATTCATGCTTCTTCGTGTATACATTTCCTACAGCATTCAGAAGATGCTCCCCTCTGAAGCACAATACTGTCTTGGGGCCAAGTACACAGATGTATATAGTCTGGGAAGCAGCCTAGTTTCTTTCAAAGGGAAAAGTTGACATACTGGGCTTGCAATAGTGTCTTGTGTCTCTATGGAAAGCACATAATGGTTTTGGGGTTTGGAAGTTCAGATTCCTGTGCTCGGGAGTGGGGTTGGGTGGTGTTAGGGGAAGGGTGGGAGGTGGGTTGTGTTTGATGACTTTTCAGCAAAATGAGAGTCCATAGCATTTGGCTTCAACTAAGAGGCATATATCCAATAAGC